GGCTGAGGCTGAAGGACGGCACCGTGGCGGTTCCTCGCAGACGCCGACCAACGCCCTTGGAGTACGGGCAGAGCCCCTGACTTCCCGCGAGAGTTGAGCTCTCGAGGCGGTGGAGCACCCTGCCGGAGGCCGCGCGGTTCCGGCTTTCCCGCCTAGCCCGAGGTTCGGCCTTGGCCGAGGCGACGCGAGGTCGATCACGGCCGCCTTGGCCAGAAGCAGGAACCGGAAGCTGCTGAAGAACGTGGAGCTTGGATTCCAAGCGCGGCCGGAAGAGAGGACCTCGGGCCTGGCCGCTGTGGCACGCGGGCCACCGCTCCGGCCACTGTTCTCGGCCTAATCTGATCCAGTGCAGAATGCAGTTGTATCTGCTTTTCCCCGAAAAGTAATAACCGGGCCTGGGCTCGCGCCTGTCAGACCAGCTCCGCAGAGGCCGAGGCAGGAGGATTGCCGAGGGAGTTTGAGGCAGGCCGGGGCTGCACAGTGAGATCCTGTCTCAGGTACACAACAAAAACAATGACATTGTAGTTCTGTGCTCTCCCTTCCCTGAAGCTGAAAGATTGCTAGTCAGTTACATGTGTTTTATCTTGCTCAGATATTTTCTTTTGTGACCCTGTAATGGCAGCACTCTGGAGGCTGACGCAGGAGGAGCTCTGTGAGTCCAAAGCCAGCCTGACCTACATAGTGAGACCCTGTCCCCAGAAAACACCAAAACCAAAAACCAAACAAATATTGGCATTCAGTGATTCGGCCAGGACAGGCTAGCTCCCAGCTCCTGCCCCATCCCCTTTCCTGGCCACCCTGACGCTCAGCCAGCCTGGTGCATGGAGGGCGCTCATCACATATTCATCAGAAATGAGTGAGTAGCCGGGCGTGGTGGTGCACGCCTGTAATCCCAGCTCTCGGGTGAGGCTCCGATGGCTGAGTTAGAGGCCAGCCTACTGTACACAGTGAGTTCAAGCCCAATTTGAACTAATAGCCTGCCAAAAAAATGAAAAAGAGGGCTAGGGATTTAGCTCAGTGACACAGTGCCTGCCTCACAAGCATAAGGTCCTGAGTTTGATCCCCAGTACCAAAAAAAAAAAAAAAAAAAAA